GGAGGGGGGTGGGTGAGGGGCGGGGAGGGTTTGCTCCAGCCCGCAGTTGGGGGACACAGTCCATCCTGGTGGGGAGGCCCGGCAGCAGAAGCTGGAGGCATCTCATCACATCACGCCCAGTCAGAGGAGTGGACTGCTTGTCATCTGTTTGCTGTCTTCCTCTTATGTAGCCCAGCCCATGTGATGGTGCTACCCACTGTTAAGGTGGCTCTTCCCCCTCAGTTAACCTAGTCAAGATAAGCCCTCACAGGCATGCCCAAATGTGGGGCCCCAGCCCCTCGAATTTCTCTGCATTGCTTGTCAGCTGACAGCCACAGGTGCATCCTGCCCTCTAGTCCTGGCTTACAGCCCCGCCTTGCCTACCTGACATCAACGTTTAGTACCAGGAAAACACGAGCTCTTAGACCTGGGGTTTCTCCACCGTGCTGTAAGTCTGTGTAGAAGACCGCTCACTCCTAACGGCAGACACACAGGCAGACGCACCCACACACGCAGAGACACAGACACACACACACACACACACACACACACACACACACACACACACACACACACGCATTCTCCTGGCAATAAAGGCGGCAGACGCATTCTCTTAGCACAAATGCTTGGACGTCTTGTCTTTCATTTCCCGATACCTCGGACTTGTTCCTGGTGCGGACGCCACACCCAAAGGCTTGTCTCCTCGGTGAACCTAGATCCTTTCACGATCACAATACTAAGACAGACCACATAATCCGAGGTGACTGGAGGAAAACCAGCCGCTGGTGGATGGGTTAGGATCAGCTGAGGACAGCAGGGAAAGGACCAGCACTACGGAAGGAACAGATGTGACAGGAAGTATCCGTGCCCAGCTCACTGGGCTGGGTTGGGCTGTGTTGACGGGAGAGTTGAAAAGTTTGGTGGGCTCGAGAGAGCTCAGAGGTTCCCAGCACTGACTGATGTGGCAGCTCGTAACTCTCTTAACTCTGGTCCCTGGGGATCCATTGCCCCCTTATAGCTTTACACAGGCAAAACACACCTGTACATGTAAAACATAATAAAAAGTAAACATTAAAAAAGCTTGATTCATCAGGTCCCTGGTATGAGGCCTTAATAGCTTTGCGGAGCCCACACTGTAACAGGATCCTTATGAGGTAGCAGCTGTGCAAATTCACCTTGCACAAGCGGAGTCTGCTAGGGAGGAAACTGTTCCCCCAGCTACAGCTCAGGCCAGACACCGTCAGACTAGACAAAAGCCACATGAAGGCGCAGCCACTCTCCCCATTGGCCTTACTCAGAGCAATGCCAGCCAGGTCTGGCCCCACTGAGCCTGGTGGCGTGGGGGGGGGGGGATGCCAGGCAGCCCTGTGGCCATGCCCAGGATGAAGCAGCAGGATGACTCACTGGGAACGGTCCTGGAACTCATGGAGGATTGTGAATGGGGGCGGCTAAGGAAGTGCCACCTACAACCGCTCTCAACATTGACGCTTTGAGAAAACATTTCCTCTCACCCTCTGCCGGACCCTGCTAACATTTCCCCTCGCAGCTGCTCCATCCTGGGACTAGATGGTGCTTGTTCGGGATGCTGGGTGGTGAGCCTCCAGGGACTCTGGCGTGGCCAGGTCCAGCGTCCTTCCTACGGGAGGCATTAACTCTCATCTTCGGAAAAGGAGGCGGACTCCTTCTGTTTTCCTCCCTTCCCCTGTCACAGGCATGTATGCCCGACACCTTCCCGTCCTGCCAATACACTTCCTAATGTAATCACTAACCTAGGAATTACCATGCAGTCCATCCATGGCTGAGGCCACATGCTTCTGCAGCTAGGTGTGGAGAAGGCTTAACCGCAGCTCGGTGGTAAGGCACTTGCCTCACAGGTGCATGGCTCGTGGTGGGATCCCAAGAGGTGGGGAGGGAGGGAGGGGCCAGAGAAAGACCAGCAAAGATCCCTGGGAGCTTGTGAAAAATGCAGTATCACTGGCCCAGCCTAGACTCCCTATGCACCTGAGACTCCCTAGGTGACAGACTTAGCAGATTTCCTAGGGGAGGCCTTACCCTCTCCGTGGAGCAGATGGGAGGAGCGGGGAAGTGAAGGGATCGGGAGGAGAGGAGGGAGGGGGAACTGGGATTAGAATGTTAAAAAAATAGATTAATAAAAGAAATGCAAAAAAAAAGAGACACAAGTGGAATGAATTGGAAAAAAAAGGAAAGAGACGGACTCCCTAGGCAACTCTTACATGTATTAAAGTTGGAGAAACTAGGAAGTCTGTTGAGTTTACTTTTTATTATTTTCTGGATTTATTGGTTTCTTATCTTATAAAATAGATTTTGTTATATTAAGTGGAAACTGCTGTTTTGAAACTGAGTATTTTGTACTTTTATTTGCTTTGTTTAAAGAAATATGACACTGACTCAACTGCCGATTATCAGTTGCCACGGTGTTCTCTCTCAGGGCCGAAGAGGACTCAGTGGGTAAAGCTGAATAGACCTGACAAACATTGAGATTGATTCCTGGAACCCAGAGTTGGAAGGAGAGAACTGACTCCCATTACATCATGCCTGTGCACACGCTACACACACACACACACACACACACACACACACACACACACACACACACACAGAGTAGCGGCTCTCGAGTCTATAATCCCAGCATGAGTTCAAAGCCATCTGGTCACCTAGCAGATGCCCCTGGCCCTAGCAGTCAGGCGTCGGGGAGAGGCGGCCACAGGGGCCTCCGCATCCACGCGGCTCTCGTACCCACCCCTAACAAAGACGAGGTGCTAAGGCGGGGCTGGAGCCGGGACCACGTAGGTGAGGAGCTTTGGTAGCGGTTTCTGCCTGGGAGTAGGACTTCAATGGGCGGAGTCCTGCTCATAACCATCCTAAACTTGTGCACCAGAGGGAGGCAGGGTGCTCCCCAACCCTTGCATCAACAGTACCCAAGCTCAGTGCAGTGGCAGGGGCGGCAGGAGCCATGCTGCCCTCAGCCTGGCGTGGGGCAAATCCACAGAACTGGCTACATCCTGGTTTCAGAGAACAAGTTCCCTGGTCTGGTTCTTGAAGGCCCAGCATCTTCCGCCCACCCCCCCCTTGCCCCTCCCCCCGTAGTGCAGAGCATCTAGTGGGCTCGGCTCAGCTGCTCTGCAGGACCAAGATGTCTCCAAAAGCAGATAATCCCTGTGGGGTCCCGTCGATGGGATAAGCCCGGGATTCTCACCCCTACAGCTGTCTAAAGCCCAACGGTATTCCCTTTCGCAAGACGCCCCCGGCGCCAGCACCCGAAGTCTTTACCCAAGCGTCCTGCAGCCCTGGGAGCTGAGGGGCTTTCCGAGTTGCTGTGGTTTGCCAGCACCAGTGTTGGGGTGTTTCCTGGGACCCATCTCTAGGCGTCCGAGTATTTCCATGTTGTTCCAGATCCGTAGATCTAACAAGGTCTCCCTCTGGATTCCAGCATTCCCCAGTATCCTCAAGATGCAGCAACGCAGCTGATACATCTGTTGTGAATGTGAGACTGCACGCCTGTCAAACATTGTACTTTCTGGTCTTTCATACTACGAGAGAGTTAAGTTACTCTTATAGTTAGAAGCCAGAAAAACTCACAGGTTGTTTTCAAACATGTTTACTTGTCTGTCCTACCAGGCACAGAACCGTGTTGGTTCAGGACCCGAACTGTGCCTGCCCCACCAAACACCATGGCCACAGGCACACATTTGATCACATCGTGAACCCTGAGATTGCCTTAATTAAACGAAATCAACCTTGGGTCAAGAGGCGGAGCCAGCAACTGGTTGACAGGAAGTGGCCACAGAGAGTAAGAGGGAGTCAGGAAAACCAAACAGAGGAATGAGCAGGTAGCAGTGACAAGGGACTTTGAGTCTGGTGGCGTTTTTGGTTTGGGGCAGCAAGAGAGAAGCCCTCTCTGAGACGCTGGCTAGGGAGGAAGGTCAGCTGGCTGTTTCTCGGCCTCTCTGAGCCAGCAGGTTTTCACCCCAGCATCTGACTCCCGAGTCATCATCAGTGAAATTTAACTTGAGTTTAAAAACAGCACAGCTTTAAGAAACTACTGACCAGAGCGCATCCTCTACTATGTGTCCGTTTGGCTTTGGTGCTGATGGAGTGTGGGGCTCCACCACAGAAGCTGTGTTTCAAAGAACATTCACAGGTTGGGGTGGGCTTTGCTTTCCCCCTTCTTCCTTTCAGTCTTGGTCTCTTAGAACAGAGGGTCCAGAATTGTTTAGAAACTCACTTAGGTGTTGAGGGGCAGTGCCACCCGCCTGCAATCCCAGCTCCGGGAAGGGGGAGGGGGACGGTGGGGAGGACAGCGAGCCTCGACTATACAGTAGACCTACCGATGTTCACTGCACATGTGTGTATGTGTGCGTGAGTGCCAGTGTGCGAGCGCGTGTGTGTGCGCGCACGTGTGTGTGTGTGTGTGTGTGTGTGTGTGTGTATGCATGTGCGTGTGCGAGCAGGCAGAGAGCAGAGGGTTGTTTCCTCCCCGTCTAGGCTAACCCCCACTGGATGTGATCAGCTGGGACGCCCTCTTCAGGAGCCTTTCTCAAACCAGCGTCTAAAGGAAGAGTGAAAACCAAGCGAGGGATGGGGCTAATAAAATTCAGTTCTCACTCAGTATTAGATTTCATCTTATTTTGTGGGAACTTTTTTTTCCAAACCCGATTTTAGCAAAAGTTCAAGGAAACACGATAAGCAAACACCAAACTTGGCCTCGTTACTTATCGCCACCCCCTTATCTGGGATGACAGTATCAGCTTTGAGACATCAGCCGCTCTGAAACGCAGCATGGGCAACACATCCTGGGACCGAGAAGGCTGTGTGTGTGAAGGTGCCCGCCGGCAGGCCTGACAACCTGAACTGGGTCCCACCCCAGGGTTGAAGGAAAGACCCAACCTCTACAAGTTGACCTCTGACCTCCACAAGGGCACTGGGGCTTGTACGCCTATGCCCACACATACAACACACACATACACATACTAAGTGTAATTAAAAACGCCTTAAGATACTTTGAGAGACCAGATAAACATAATCTTTATTATAATGTATTGTCGTAATTCTTCTCTATTCTGGTTCTTACGTTGATCAGTCAACAAACGTGGTCACAGATGTATACGCACAGGAAACAGTCCAACAGAGGTCAGTACTCCCATTTCAGGCAGCCAAGGGAGTCTGGGAACACACAGGAAGGGACCGCAGCACAACAATTTCTATCTGGTGTACCACATCTTGAGGACAGGCGCCACTTAAAGCTATGAGCATTTTCTGCAGGTAAGGATAGAGGAGTCTTTTCCCAAAACAGCATTAATGCTGACCTAAAGGACTGAATTAGGGGGAAAAATTGCTGCAAGAACCCTTTGGAACACTGAAAGTTTAGTAGGAATTCTGTAACTCGGATGCAAATAAAGGCTTTGCTTTCAGCCAGACACAGGCTCCACCCATTCTCAACACGCTAAGCCATGCTGTCATTTTCTCTGTGGAGGGCAGACAGGCAGAAGTCAATTCAGAACTTCTCCCACGAGCAGCCACTTTCACTGCGGAATCGCTATGAAGAAACCTGAAGCCAGAGGCACCTTCAGTGGTCTTCAAAGGGCATGGGGAGGGGAGAGGCTAAGGCAACGCGTTACCCAGTTTGAAGGTGAAGCCGGGGTGACTGGCATCTCGGCATCTCAAAACCAGATGGGTCTAGAGCAGGTGAGACAGATGGCGTTACTGTCCCTGAAGGGGACGGGGGGCTGGCCACTGGTGTGCGTGTTTATTTTCCTGTTCATCACTAGTGTGGCTGCCTGCTCGGCAGGCCGCCCTGGCGTTCAGCATTGGTGTTCAGAACATAACTTCCTTTCTGCATTGTGTCTTACTGTGTTCGTCTGCGTATAACTCTGCACTGGTTTTCTCAAATGTTCCTTGGAAGCTCACACCATCCGGACAGCGCCTACAGGGTCAGCAGGTTACAGGCAGCACACCCAACCCTCTCCTGGTCTCTTCCTCTCAAGCACTATGCATTGTTCTAGCCTGACAGCAATCTCCTGTATATACATATACATATACACATACACATTTGTATGCACAGATACACTGAAAACACGGAGCTGTATAAAATCACACACCACACAAAGCAGAATCTAGTGAGCTCCTAGTTTGTCAGCACAAGAAAAGGCATGCAGGGTGAGCCCCACAGAGCAGAGGGCTTATGGACACAGATTTCCTATCTCGGTTTGCATTTCCTAGAATATAGCGACGTGTCTTTTCCTACTCAGCAAAATATTTTTTAAAAATTTAGACATTTGTCCACTGTGTTAGATTTAAATGAAAACGCTCCCTACACATATGACGATAAAAGCAAAAACAGCTTACAACACATTCCATTTTTAATACATCAGAAAGTTTCCAAGGCAACATTACTCAACGCCTATGCCGCTGTCCCTAAGCGTAACGCGGACTCTGAGGCAGCGTCCAGGCGGGGGCTCAGGTGCTCTTCTTTTCCTCGCCCAGTAAGTTCACCGTCGCTTTCTTGACTGTTGGGGGGAAAGGAAATTGTATCAAGAAGCTTTTAGAGTGTAAGCTCCCCGGAAACTAGACAAAGTGAAGTCACTAAGCCGGATGGCTCATGGGCGGATGAGAACGCACTGAGGCTTGTGGTCAAGGCTACGAGGGCTTCCAGGAAACGGACACAGCGCCTCTGTAGAGCACAGATCCTCAAGGACTAAGCAGAATTCTTGAAGGTCGGTCATCTAGCCTCTAGGCTAGTATGACATCATTACCTGCACTATCTGCCCTGTCTCCCTCAGTCATCAAAGGCAGCAGAGGCTGTCACAGAGTCGGAGAAAAGGGACCACGCCAGTACTGCAAATATCCAGACTTGCTCCTGTGCCACTACCCACCCCCAGGACAGGAAAGATGGAGGTGGGGCAGAGTCTTCTGGAACAACCCCCCCCCCCCCCCCGGGAGACTCCACAGGTGGCAGCTGTTTCTGATGGAGTCCAGCGTCCACAAGCTTCCCGGCAGCTGCCTTCCATTCCTCACTTAGAATCACCCGGCAAAGCTGACAAAGAAGGAAACAGTCTTCCTCTCTCAATGGCTACCTCAGAGACACCCGGTGAATCTGAACCGTCCAGTGAACCAGGGAGCCAGCTCTACAGCCCACCTTCGCCGGGTTCTAAAACCCTTTTGGGGTCTACTCTCTAGGTCCAAAGCTAGAAGCGAGCAGTTGGGGCAGGTTTGACGGCCCGGGACACCTGGAATACTCACTGTGTGTCCCTTATATGTCAGCCTCTTTCTAGACAGCTATCCATGCTCTTCCTGTCCCATCCACCCCCCACCACCGCCATGTCTCTCTCTCCTACTCACTGAGAGATCAGAAATAAGGGGAGCGCTTCCCGAAGCTCCCAGTCACACACGCCCAGCGGCCCCTCTGCCACCAGCCTCCACCCTCGCCTCTGTTTACGAGGTCCCAGCTCTGGCCATTCCCTCTGTGGCTGAGAATGTGGCTGTGCGTAGCCCCCTCCCCCTCCCTCTCACCAGCCGCTCAGTGTTCTCGACTGACCATCCCCACTCACTGCTTTGCCTCTCCTACCTTAAGAAAGGTCCCTAAAGACTGCAAGACCCTGTTTCCCTCCATGTAGACACCACTGTCCCTTTCTCTCAAGTCCCTTCAATCGGCGAGTCCCTCCCCAGCACCCACAGTTGCTCTCTTCAGGTCACTTCCGTCCTCGTTGCCAAGTCTGTCTCTCAGTCTTCCTCATCTTACCCAACCCCGCACAGCAGGTGGCGTTATGGCCACCTCACTGGGACCAGGCTCTCTGGCGTTCCTGCTAACCTCATCAGCATCTCCCTGGCTGGTGGCCCACACCCTCAATGCACACCCTCAGCGTAAGGCTGCTCCCTGGGGCTCTCAACATCAGCATCCAGGTGGCCGTCTGACTGCTCCATGCAGGTGTCTAACAGACCCTTCAGACATCTGCCCAGGGCCGGATTCTGGACTTCCCCCTACCCAGCCTTCCCACCTCAAAGGCAAGTCTCTCCTTTCCACTGCTGAGGTTGTAAAACCTGCCCTGGTCTGGCTTCTTTCTCTCTCCAGCTCCTAGCCTAATTCACACACAAATCCTACCTTTAGAAATAAAGTCAAGCATCCATCCCACACTTAACTATTGCTACGTTACTGTTGCTACAACAAATCAGGAAGCTGTCATCTCTAGCCAGATCACAGCACCCTAAACTAGACCACTGACATCCTCTCTTAATCAGTCCAGCCCGGGATCTGCCTCCTGCCCACCTCTCTGACCCTGTTTCCTGCTGTCCTTCCCTGTTCCTCTTATTGCTTCCAGGCCAAACTGTGTCACATGCAGTTCCTGGACAATCTACCCTCGGGTCCCCTCGGTTACTTTTTCAGGCCTGGCTCAGGGCAGCCTTTTGTGACCCCCGATCCTGACTCTCAGCTGACAGGCCTGGGGAGGGAACCCAGCTGTGGAACTGCCCCATCAGATTAGCCTATGGGCGTGTCTCTGGGTTATCTTCCCCATTGGTAACTGAGGCAAGAGAGCCCCACCCACTGTCGTATAAGAAGGGCAGCGGTCAACACAGGCCTGGAAGTCAGCCAGCAAGCAGCATTCCTCGCTGACTTCAGAGGCCAGCTCCTGCCTCAGTGTGCCTCAGCAATGGACTTTGATGAAACAAACCCTTTCCTTCCCCAAGCTGGTTTTTTTTTTTTTTGATGGAAGGCTTTCTCATCACAACAGGAACCCAAACTAGCACAGCCACCTTGGTGATGATTTCCTGATCTCTCTGTTTTAAAAAACTGCTTATCCGTCTTCTGCCTCCCAGATGCTGAGGCTGCAGTCACACCATACATCCTCACACCCAGCAGCAGAAACAGTTAGGACGCCATACTCAACACGGTCAACCCGAATTGAACTACATAGGTGTTTCCCCCGGCTGCAGATGGTAACTCTGAAACACCTCCCCGCAGTGGACAAGTCACTTTTCTAATCTGATGACTGAAGGCCGCACTAAAACTGTCACTGGGAAAGAAGCAGCGGAGACCCCAGAGGACGGGGCGGCCATGAGCCTGCTGTTTGAGCCGGGGACGCCACATCTCCTGCACACACGGTGCCACGCTGCTCCTGGGCCTTACCTTCCTTTGTGATGGTGTCTGCCCCTGGGCCTTACCTTCCTTCGTGATGGTGTCTGCGGTCTCTTTGGCTTTGTCTTTCATGTCCTTCACCACGCTGTCTACCTGGGACTCGTGCTTCAGGAAGATGGGACGGATGATGCGTCTGTAGAGCAGCTCTGCCCCGTTAGATGGGCTCGGGGCCATGCACCACAGCAGGAAGCCACACTGCGGGACAGAGCACTGGTGAGAAGGGGCAGGGCACTCTGGGACGACACTCGTGTCCCCCACCACTCTGGGATAGGAGGTTGTTTCTGACACACCCACCCGTATTTCCAGTGTTTTCTGAAGGCTAACTGGAGGCTTTTCTTAGATGGGAAAACAAACAAATCACAGTCATTAATGAACCAGCATGAGCTACAGAAGGCTGTCTCAAGGGAGAAGGAAGAGGAGAGGAGGTGGCTGGGAATATAGTTCTGTTGTTACAGTGCTGTCCTAGCACGGTCAAAACCCTGGGCACAAGCCCTCGCACCGCAAAAAACTAAGCATGGTGGGTGGTGCCAGCCCATAATTCCAGCACTGCGCCGTGGAGGTAGAGCCAGAGGATCTGGCGTTCAAGGTCATCCTCACCCACACGGGGAAGCTGAAGTCAAGCTGGGATATGAGAGATCATGTCTCAAAGAGATAAGTATGACAGGCGAATGTCCTTATGCATATGTTTCTCTTATTGGTTGATGAGTAAAACACTGTTCGGCCAATAGCTAGTAGACGCAGGAAGACAGGCCGGGCTAGGACGAGGAGAAGGCTGGGGAGAGAGGCAGAGAGGCCACGAGGAGAGATGTTATGTAGCCACTGAAGGAGTAACAGATCCGGACATTCTCCAGTAAGCCAAGACCATGTGAAAATACATAGACTAGTAGTTATGGGTTAACAATTAAGAGGGAGCTAGCCAATAAGAAGCCCAAGCTATCGGCCAACAGTTTTATAACCAATATAGCATCTGTGGGGCTGAAAGAAGAAGCAGGACCTAGGGGGAAAAGAAACTCCAGCTATACAGATAAATAAAACAAATATGAATGGGAGATGGGGAGAATGGCAGGAAAGTAAAGGGAATATAAATGCCATAATGAAACCCACCATGTTTTAAAAATTGTGTACTGTGTACGATTGAAATATGATGCACGTCAAAAAGACAAGCATGGTGTGTACTCACTCATATATGGTTATTAGACATAGAGTAAAGGATTACCAGCCTACAATCCACACCTCCAGAGAAGCCAGGAAATGAGGAGGACCCTAAGAGAGACATACAGGGTCTCCTGGAGAAGGAGAAAGGGACAAGATCTCCTGAGCAAATTGGGAGCATGGGGGAGGGGAGAGGGAGTTAGGAGAAAGAGAAGGAGAGAAGAGGAGGGGAAAGGAGGACATGAGGGAGCAGGAAGATTGAGTCAGGGGAAAAATAGAGGAGAGCAAGAAAAGAGACACCATAATAGAGGGAGCCATTATAGGTTTAAAGAGAAATCTGGCACTGGGGAAATGTCCAGAGATCTACAAGGATGACCCCAACTAAGAATCTAAGCAATAGTGGAGAGGCTGCCTTAAATGTCCTTCCCCTATAAAGAGATTGACGACTACCTTATATGCCATCCTAGAGCCTTCATCCAGTGGCTGATGGAAGCTGAAGCAGAGATCCACAGCTAAGCACTAAGCTGAACTCTGGAATCCAGTTGCAGAGAGGAGTGATGAGCAAAGGTGTCAAGACCAGACTGGTGAAACCCACAAAAACAGCTGACTTGAACAAGGGGAGCTCATGGACCCCAGACTGATGGCTGAGAGGCCAGCATGGGACTGATACAGACCCCCTGCACATGGAGGCCTGGGAAGTCTATAGGGCCTTGGGCAGTGGATCACTATTTAACCCTAGCATATGAATGGGCTTTAGGAGCCCATTCCACATAGAGGGACGCTCTCTCAGCCTAGACACACGGGGGAGGCCCCAGGCCCTGCCCCAAATGATGTAGCAGACTTTAAAGATCCCCCATGGAAGGCCTCACCCTCCCTGGGGAGTGGATAGAGGAAGGGATGAGAGGTTGGTGGGGGGATGGGAGGATGGGTGGGAGAGGGAACTGGGATTGATAAGTAAGATAAGATTTTTTTCTAATGTAAATTAAAAAAGAAATATGGTGCACATGTGTGAGCGCAGCTGTGCGTGTGTGAGCGCGGTACACGGGTGTGAGTGAGTGCGGGTGCGCGTGTGGAGATTAAAGACCAACTTCCGGGCCGGGCGTTGGTGGCGCACGCCTTTAATCCCAGCACTTGGGAGGCAGAGGCAGGCGGATCTCTGAGTTCGAGGCCAGCCTGGTCTACAGAGTGAGTTCCAGGACAGCCTCCAAAGCCACAGAGAAACCCTGTCTCGAAAAAAAGAAAAAAAAAAAAAAACCAACTTCCGGAATCAGTTCTCTCCCTCCACTGTGAGATCCGTGAGTCAAGTCCTGGCTGCTGGGCTTGCAGAGCGAGGGGGGCTGGGGGATGGCTTGCTGCACGAGCATGAGGACCCATGTTTAGATCCCCAGTACCATGTAAAAGGCTGGTGTGTGTGTGTGTGTGTGTGTGTGTGTGTGAGGGTGGGTGAGGGTGGGTGTAAACACATGCAGGTGAGCACACACCCTACACACAGACGCCCAAGCAGCAGGCTGAGAACATGTTTAACATACAAGTTTTCGACAGTGTGGAATATTCCTTTACACTGTGTGGTATACGTCACTGTGACTGGGCTAACAAAGAAGCTGACTGGCCTATATAGCTAGGCAGGAGAGGCTGGGGTGGAGAGCCAGGCTAGGAGGGTTCTGGGGAGAAGGGAGGAGTCGCCAGGAGGTGCAGCAAGTCACACTGGAGGGCAGGTAATGCCGTGGGCCACGTGGCGATACACAGATTAATGGAGGTGGGTTAAGTTGTAAGAGCTACTTAGTCATAAGCCTGAGCTATGGGCTGAGCATTTATAATTAATGTTGAGTCTCCGTGTTGGTTATCTGGGGACTGGTAGCAGGGAAGAAAAGTTTGTCTACAGGTCAGCATGGGCAAGATAGCAAACCTTCAAAGAAAGGAGAGGGATATGTTTCTGGCTGGTATTCTTACACAGTATGACTGATTTTCGGGAATGAATTATCCATGGAGAGACAGATACTCGCTTCTGTCTCTGAGGGCATCAAGGTGAAGTGCAAATAACTCCCAGACTAAGAACTGAAAGAAGTCTGTCTCATGAGTTTAGGCAACTCAGTGTGTTTGGGTTCTTTTTCTGTTCTGTGGGGTTTTTTTTGTTTTTTGTTTTGTTTTGTTTTGTTTTTTAGGAAAATCATGATCTGCTTTTTATGCTTTTTTTTACATTTATTTATTTATGTGTATAAATGCTTTGCCTGCAAGAATGTACTGTGACATATGTGCCCACAGAGGTCATACCCTTCTGGAACTGGAGTTATGAATAGTTGTGAGCCACCATGTAGGTGCTGGGAATTGAACCTGGGTCCTGAGGAGGAGGAGGAGGAGGAGGAGGAGGAGGAGGAGGAGGAGATGCTCTTAGCAGCTGAGCTATCTCTCTAGTCTGTGATGTTTTTTTTTTTTTTTTTTACCAGCTAACAGTAGAGCAACAGTACCATCTGAAGCTCTCACTGTTGGTGGAACCCTCTGAAATGCTATTCACCTGCAGAGACACCACTTGTGAGAAATCCAGCCAGGCAGATTCTCTTTTCTGCATGAATTAAGGCAAGGCTAACAGAGGGGACCAGAGTCGAACGTCTCCAGTTCTGTCTTCAGTGTGATTACTCTGCAGAATACACAACCGCTTATCCACTTGGTGGCTTCCTGGTACCCTCTGGCTACTGTCTTGAGACAGTAAAAATAATTGCTGCCCTCCTCCTACATTCTCAGCACTTTCCAGTTCTCATATTAAAAATAAGGTTAATTACTGCTCAACTCTCAAGGCAATACCCAGCTATCAGCTTTCAAAACTCCACCTCACATGTAACTACTTTTCTCACAGATGTGAGCTCATTTTTCAGCAAGGTCTCCTCCAAGGGCCGGCTGATACTTCTCCCAGAGGCAACCACACAAGCCCACTCTTACCCACGGTTCAGACGAAGGGCACACACTGCTTTAACTGGAGTACTGTGACACTGGCACTGACACACGGATCGTATATGACAAGCCAGGTAACTCTGTCTGCTGCTCCAGAGCTATCCCTGCCCAAGAGTGGGGATACAAACTGACTGTCAGGGACCATCCTGGCAGGAAGTTTATTCAGGCCAATGCCAGGGAAAATGTATTTCAGGGGCTGGAGATGTAGCTCAATGATACAGTGCTTATCTAAAATGCACCAGGTCCTTCAGGGTTCAATCCTCAGAACACACACACACACACACACACACACAGGGTGGGGGGGATATTTTATGTATCTTCTTTTGGGGGGAGGATATTTTATGTATCTTCTTTTGGGGGGAGGATATTTTATGTATCTTCTTTTCCTACAATGAACTGGTCAGAAACTGAAGTCTGTCATTTATGTTCTGAGGACCTGAAAGCAGAAGACAAGCTGTCTGGAGGACAAAACAGGGGAATACGCTCCACACACAACATATACTTGTATGAAATGGCTTTATGTAGACTTGTATAAGTAATGAAGGAAGGAAACAAGTAAATCTAGATTTTGGAAAGCCTCTGCAATATAGCCACAAAAAGGCGACAGGCTAAATTTAAAGCCAACTGTTCAAAAACTAAAATAAAAAAATCAATTGTTCAAGCTGTGCACAATAATTTGAGGTCACCTGAGTAACATAGTAAAACCCTGTCTTTTCTTTCTTTCTTTTTCTTTTTTTCTTTTCTTTTTTTGACACAGGGTTTCTGCCTCTGTCTCCCAAGTGCTGGGATTAAAGCCTGCACCACCACCACCACCAGTGTAAAACCCTGTATTTAGGAAAAAGTAAAACAGAAATGACTGCTCCTCCTGAATCATAAACAAAATGAAAATGAGCAGAGAAGGGGTAAGATTTCCCTGCTTTTGTGTCCCACTAAAGTACACTATTTCCATTTCTGCCCCTGTGATAATGCAGTCTGACATAAAGCACTTTGGGGAATGAACGGGTGTGTTTCAGCTTACATCTCCATCACTGAAGGAAGGCGTGGCAGAAGCTCATGCATGAACTTGAAGCAGAAACCAGGGAGGTACACGCTTGAGGGCTCTCTCAGAGTCTCATGTTCAACTAGCTTCCTTACACAGCCCTGGTCCACCCACTGCCCAGGGAATGGTACCACCCCCAGGTGGGCTGGGCTCTCCCACAACAATTAGCAGTCAGGATAAACCCCCAGAGGCACGCCCACAGACGGATCAATTGAAACCCTCCTCTCCAGTCACTCTAGCCTGGGTCAGCTCCACCACAGCTAGGCCATGAAGTTAAAACAAGAAATGTTGGGCCTGGGGAGAGATGGCCCATAAAGCGCTTGACGTGGAACTGTGAGGACAGAAATCGAACCCCCAGAAGCCATGTCAAAAGCTGGGTGGGCTATAATCGCTGCGCGTGGCGGTTGGAGACAGACTTTCCCCAGAGCAAGCTGGCGAGGCCGACTGATGAGCCCCGGGCTCAGCAAGGGACTCTGCCTTAACACAGAGCCATTGAGGAAAACCCTGATACCAACTCCTGTTCTGCACACACTGTGCCCATCTATGTGAACACAGACAGACAGACAGACAGACAGACAGACAGACAGACAGACAGACAGGCGTGCACACACACACATACACAGAGAGAGAGAGAGAGAGAGAGAGAGAGAGAGAGAGAGAGAGAGAGAGAGGGGATGCTATGCTTTTCTCTAACAAAAGGGAAAGCATCCTTGTGCAGCACTGTGAACATTACATTTCCTTGGGACATCTTTGTAAGGGCATCATTTTCCCATTCAACCAGAAACTCTCAAATGTCTGCTCTAATAACAGCACTGCTCACTGTCAGGACATTACATGCCCATTTCCCTATACAGTCATCTGCACTGGGCATTTTCAACCTTTTAAACCGTCTGCCAGGCCAGGCTTGGTGGCACACACCAGTGTTCACTGTGCAGCAAGTTCAAGGTCAGCCAAAGTCACCAGAGACTGTCTCAAAAACAAAACAAAAGTTTGCCAGTTTAGTGAACAAAATATGAGGCTTTATTATTTTAACTCCCTGTGTTGGTTGGTATTTGTCAACTAGACACAAACCTGGGAAGAGGGAATCTTTTCATTTTAACTATTTTTTATTTTACTGTAGGTGTCTGAGTGTTTTGACTGAATGTGTGTGTCTTATGCTGATAGCAGCCTGAAGAGAGCCCTGAATCCCCCTGGGATTGGAGCCGTGAACAGGTACAACCTGCTATGTGGGTGCTGAGAATTGAACCCAGGCCCTTTGCAAGAACAGCTAGTGTCCTTATCTTTTCAGCCCAAGAGGGAATCTTAGCTGAGAAAATGTCCCCACCAGGTCTGTCTCTAGACAAGTCTGTGAGGTATTCTCCTGATTAATAATCGATGTCGGGGGGCAGTCCATTGTGAGCGGTGTCACCCAGGCATGTGGTCCTGGTCTGTGTAAGAAAGCCAGGAGACAGCCCCCCCTCCAGGTTTACACTTAAGCCCCTGCCTGGGCTTCCCTCCGTGACGGACTGACTGTAAGACAAAGTTTCTCCTCTCCAGGTTGCTTTTGGCCGGCGTTTTAACTAAGACACCCCGTGCCCCACATCGCTGGGGAGGTGCTTCCTGGACACTCATATTCACCACTGTTTTCCTTTTGATCAAATATCTATACAAAAATTCTGCCTGTTTCTTCATTTACAGAACTGTTCATGCATTTTGTATATCAGTCCCTTATTTGATATCAATGTTGTAAATATATATATCCTCCTGGTCCGTCATTATTTTGATGTAGTTTTGTGCTACCTGTTGTCATATAGAGTTCTTAAAATGTTTATCTCGACAAATTCATTAAATCTGTTTCGTGACTTTTGCATTTTCTGTTTCCAGACCTCAAAGTTCAAAACAAAACAAAACGCAGCCTCCTACACTTTTCCTTCTAAATCAGATGTCCGTACAGGACACTGTGAGACTCTGAGGGAAAGCGGGGAGGCTAACCATCAAAGGTCAAGACTTCCCCGTTCCTCAGCCTCTGGTGGGTACAACTTAGAGGCATCTTTGAGGGTGGGGAGGGGAAGGCGGAGCGGAGAGTCATTCATTCACTGCTTCTTCTGCTGCCCCGATCTCCCCGAGCTAGACCTGACTCACACACCGCAACTCTAGCATACACGGGTGTGGCCTTTATTCCATGGCTGGACAGAGTTTATGAATCCCTTGGAGGGAAACGGGTTTTCAGGCCAAAATACTAAGATACTTGATGAGTGTACTGTTTCTAAAGGAAAACAACATAATCAGCCACAGACTCTGTCAGAAGCAAGACCACAACCGAAAGATGCAGAATTTTACACCAGATGGTTCCCAGCTCAAAGCGAGACGGTTGTGCAAGCCTAGAGCCAGAGCTGGACTGAGGACTGCTGGGACCCGCAGAGACGGAGAGAGCCAACTCCTGACAGCGTCCTCTGACCTTCACAAGTGCACACTCACACACACTCATACACACTCACACACACTCATACAAGTAAATAAAGCGGAAATAAGAACCCAGCACTCAGGAGGCAGAGGCAGGGGCATCCCTGTGAGTTGGAGGCCAGCCTGGTCTACAGAGTTCCAGGACATTCGGGGCTGTTACACAAAGAAATCCTGTCTTGAAAAACAAAACAATCAAAAGGCTTTATTCTTATTTTAAGTATATGAGTGTTCAGCTTATGTGTGCCTGGTTTCCACGGAGACCAGAAGAGACTTCAGGTCCCCTGGGACTAGCGTTACAGACAGTTGTGAACAGCTTTGTGGGTGCTGGGAATTGAACTTGGGTCCTCTGCAAGTGCAGCCAGTGCTCCCAACCACTGAGCCTTCTCCCCAGCTACAACAATGGTTGTGTGAAGTAAAGTACAGAATGGATTTTTAGTTTCAAAACCTTTCAGAACAACTTCCACCTTTAAACCATGCCATGCGTACTGTGTATTAAAATGGGCTCAACAAGGCGGGAAAGAGGGCAGCCTAAAGGACTCCCACCTTCTCCAGCTTGCAAGTCTGCAGATCTGGGAAACAGAGGCACTGGCCACATCATGCCCACTGACCAGAAGCAGGGCCTCTCCTGTGAAGACGCCTGGGGAAGCCTCTGAGGACAGCCTGTCCGCTAAAGAACCGCCATATCCACAAAATCAACGGCTTCCTCCCGCTCACTCTCCTCTGGTGCAAGCCAGAAGCCTACAGAGACCCAGCTATGAGTTTCAGCTCCCTGTCTTTCAGCACAAACTGCCCTGGCTCTTCCAAGGCCTTAAGCAAAGGGAGAAATGAGTCCTGCCTTCTTGGCTGCAATCGGAGACCAGAACCGCTATATACAACATCTAAGTCCTTACTCCTCTTTAGCCTGGTATAAGGCCCTAAGATGGAGTCTGAGAGAGGCTAAGGAGACCCGATGTGGAGGGAAGCCGCCTTTAGAAGACACGGTACCTTCAGCATGTAGTAGAAGGGGAACCAGGACAGGAAGAGGTCAGAGAAGAATTCTGCAATACTGAACACGCCATAGACCACCCAGTATGTCAGCCACTGGGTGTCGTCATCTTTGTTGGGGCTCTCGATGGCTTTCATTCTGAAAAGCAACACAAAAGAAAACACGTTGAAAACTAGTGAGATCCATTATCCCTTCACAGCCATTCTCCAGCACCAGGCAAATGTATGAACTGTAGCAAACTTGAACTCCAGCGCTCAGGAGGCAGAGGCAGGAGGCCAGGCCAGGGCTACGGAATGAGACCCTGTCAAAAACAATAAAAACAAATGAAACTTTCAGTAATAGCCCGTGGGATAGCTTTTTTTGTTCTGCTTTGTTTTCTCTTTTAGAGGAAGAAACTGCAGCTTAGAAAAGAGAAATAGCGTGCACTACAAGTGGGTTTTACCTAGGGCCCCCTCCAAAGCCTGTGTTCACTACACTGTGGGATGCTGTCGTCTTAATTAGAAAAACAATTCACCACCAGGCTGGACAGAACCTAGCAAAATGTCAGGTACAAGGTGGACAGTTAATATTTACTAATTAATTTAAGTGCAGCCAAACTCGGTAAAGTGTGTCTGATCTCAGCCCTGCTAAGGCAGACGGGAGACAGAAACAATCCTCCACGGCTCACTGGACAGCTAGCTGTACACTGTGGGAAACAAGAGACCCTGCCTTAAGCAATGAAGAAGGCAAGGACTGACACCTGATATTGTCCTCTGAGCCATGGCAAGCATGTGCCACTCCCTGACACCATGCCCCAAACACACTATGGTTTTCCTTTTTTAAAAGAGAAAACTGTGCGGTTGATCCCAATGGAGAGGCAAACTTGACAGCCATCTTTTCAGATTTCCAGCCTTCACAGCATACCCTACTCATTTCTAAGAAAGGAAGTCCCAGTAGTGTCGTGGGATATTTAACTGTGTAGAGATATGTTACATTTGTTACCACTGCCTGTGTTAATGATGTAAAGATGTGTTACATTTGTTTCTTCTGCTGAGGAATATTACTTTAACTGTGTAAAGATGTGTTACATTTGTACATAAAGGTGTGTTACAGTTGTATTGCATCTGTTTAGTTATGTAAAGATGTGTTGCATCTGTTTCACCCCGCCTGCCTAACGCACCTGATTGGTCTAATAGAGAGCTAAATGGCCAATAGCTGGCAGACAGAATAAGTAGGAGAAATCTAGGCTCAAAAAAGAAAGAGGGAAAAAAAGAAGAGAGGGGCAAGAAGCCCCCAGCCAGCCAGCCACAAGAAGCAGGGAATAGTAGGATATACACAAGGAAAGAAGGTTGAAAAAACCCTGAGGCAAAAGGTAAAGAGAAACAAATTAAAGTTAAAAGAGCTAGTCGTAAAGGAGCTAATTTTGTGTTAAAACAAGCAAACATACAAAAGATGTATTTGTGTGTGCTGACAGACCAAGACCGATATCCAGAAGGATTTCAGAGAAGAAAATCAGTTCTGAGTATTGGGATAATGACTTTTACTTCTTTAAGGTCTCTAATGATGGAGGGGGCAGAGGAGAGTTCTATCTGAAAGCACTGAGTTCCACACTCTGACTACTGCTTCCTATGAGACCAGTTCTCTTTGGAGCTAGATACAAACAGTAAAGTGAACACACTCACTTAACGTCTCTCTTGAGGAAACAGCTAATAGATTTCCTTAGTCTTCTCTAACAATGACACTAACTGTGCTTTAGGGATTAAAAGGCCTTTGATACATACACAGAGACACAGAAGAGACACAAAGCCCATTGGTTGAAACAGACTCATTTGAACTTCCTACTTAAACGAAATGAACTATCAAAAACTAACTACTCTAAGTCAGGGTAACTGGGCACGTTGCATGATTGGCTTTGCAGCACCTCAACATGACTCCACCACTCATTCAAACCGGGGGGCAGGCGTTCTCTCTGGACTTTAGCTCGCTGTGATAAACCTTACTGTGTTCTGTGACAATTACAGCAGTTAGTATATGCAATGCATTTATAAACACAGAGTGGCACAGAATAAATATGTCCACAACAGGTAATCATTATGGTATAGGGAAGTAAACAGAGACCGACTAACAGCCGGTAGAAGGAATGTTACCAGTTAATAGAGGCTAACAGGAGGACAGAGAACTATAGATGGGTTTAAACTGTGCTGCAAAAGTAAAGAGTTAGCTGAAATCCCCCAAGTCCTGTTTGCAGGTTAGTAGAAAAATTTTGGATACCAGTGAAACATTCTTTGGGCCAACTCTGGAAGATACACCAGGATTTATTTATTTATTTATTTATTTATGTGTTTATGTGTTTATGTATTTATTTATCTTGCATTGAGCTGATACGCACACAAGGGCCCTCATGCGTCTCTCCCAGCCCACTGGGGCTCAACAGTTGGTGTGTGTGTGGGGGGCTCCATCCTTGTTGACCCACCTACTTGTTCACAGCTCCATGGTTGGGTGTGTTTGCTTGCTGAAATAAAGCTGAGGACTAAGGGTGTCTAAAGGACAATAAACACACAGGAAGACAGCCAAAGATGACACGGTCGCTACCCATCTTCTCTCCCTCCCAAGCTAAGCATCATTCCCCGATCCAGACTGGACCACGATGCGAGTCTCAGGACTCAGGTGATTACGATGCCGCCATCCAGGTGCAGCTGTAACGCACTCCCAGTAGGGATGCTGACAGCAGACGTGGCTCTGCGGAAGGGACAGTGATTACGCGATTCTTTTGTCGTCCTGCTCAGTTTTGCTATGGATCTGTAATTACTCTTAGAAACGGGCTACTTAGAAAGAAAACTCTGCCTACAGACTAGGATTTTATAGTATCAGATTTGAAAAATCCCTACACCACCATTGTGCCATGTTAGGTGTTGTTTACTTCCTTTTGTTTTTCCGAGACAGGGTTTCTGTGTGTCCTGGCACTCGCTCTGTAGACCAGGCTGGTGTCAAACTCAGAGATCCACCTGCCTCTGCCTCCCGAGTGCTGGGATTAAAGGTGTGCGTCACCACTGCCAGGCTGACCTCAAATGTGACATGAGGCTCTCGGGACTGACTCTCCCACTCTGAGGAGCTGTGACTGCAGGAGTGTGCTATGGCTACTGGTCTCACGCTAGCTGTTTTGATCAACACAGTGCATCTTTTCCTACGTGAACATCACCTATGCACCAACACCACCTCCGCTTACATCTGCAGCCCAGCCTCAGACTGGCATGAGGGAGCTCTGTGAGTGGTCCCTGACACCATTAAACTTTCGCAGCGAAATTCTAAGGAAGCTCCACGCCCTCTCACGCCCAGTGAAGACTCACTCCAGATGCATGGCAGGCAGACACTCCTTTGTACGCTCTCACAGCACTGTTTATGTGGATAACTGGCAGAGATGCTTTGACTAGGGGAAGCCAGGTCCGGGAGATGAATCAGGGTCTCAAACCCACAGAGGTAATCCAGTGCCTTTGCTTGATAAACTCTTGTGACTCCTAAGAGATGTTCATACAGCACAGCTGGGACCAGTGGCATGGGGAGGAAATATGCCTGACAGCATGAAGACACATTTTCCTGTTGACAAAATGAGAGAACATAGCCGGGCGTTGGTGGCAAACGCCTTTAATCCCGGCACTCGGGAGGCAAAGGCAGGCGGATCTCTGTGAGTTTGAGGCCAGCCTGATCTACAGAGCGAGTTCCAGGACAGCCTCCAAAACAATACAGAGAAACCCTGTCTCGAAGAAAGAGAGAGAGAGAGAGAGAGAGAGAGAGAGAGAGAGAGAGAGAGAGAGAGAGAGAGAGAGAGAGAGAGAGAGAGAGAGAGAGCGCCTTACAACTAAATGATGGTTTCTTATTCTTTACTTTCCAGCTTCCTGAGCAGGCGTTGCTGGGCGGGTGGCGGGTACAGCGTTTGCCTAGCATGTATGCATGTGTGTGTGAGGCTCTGCATTCAACCCTAGAGTCGCGAACAAATCACAAACCAGAATCAATGGGGGGGACACCTGAGCCAGAACTGGGCCATCAACCTCTGCACTCTCCCCACGTGCTCTCCGACCCTGACCCGCTCTGTTCCTAGTCAGCACACAGACTTCGGGGCTTGCACGCTGGCTGTAAGGTCTACTCATTTCCTCCATGCTGAGTTCTCCCTTCAGGACACCGTCTCTCAAGAGTAGCACAATGGAGCCGGACGTTGGTGGCGCACGCCTTTAATCCCAGCACTCAGGAGGCAGAGGCAGGCGGATCTCTGTGAGTTCGAGGCCAGGCTGGACCGACAGCCTCCAAAACAGAGAAACCCTGTCTCGTAAAACCAAAAAAAAAAAAAAAAAAAAAAGAGTAGCACAACGGTACTTGCAAGCCGGGGGTGTAGTCCAGTGGTTATCACACTTGCACCGCACATACGGGCCCTGGTTTGAGCCCCAGTACCACAAAACCAGAAGCTTAAGCAATTTTAAAACGCTACATGAAATACATGAATTAATGGTGCCCAACTTTCATCCAGTATTTTGAATTACAAATATGCTATTATTTATATCATTAACAAACCAAAACTAGCAAACAGGAAAGGCAGCCATGGGAAGAAAGGGCATGCTGTCTTAAGGATCTGTATAGTTGCAACTATTGAGACTTTCTTCATCTACCAATTATAATTCAGTTTTCTTGGGAAAGACATCAATTTTTCTTAAATATAGCCATCAATTAGGCACTTCACTTTTTAAAATTATATTTAGTGTGTGTGTGTGTGTGTGTGTGTGTGTGTGTGTGTGTGTGTGTGTGTGTGTGATACCATAACACATGTGAAGGTGTTACAGAACTGGCTCTCTCCTACCAAACTGCCAGGCTTGGAGGCAACTGCCTCTACCCACTATACCGTCCGTCTCCACGTCCCCTCCATCAAACACTCTCAACGCCGCATTAGCTCTTCCAGACTTGAAGGTTACCCCTGCCCTGCATGTATCTCAATAGTCTCTTCATTCACAGAACTGAAAACTGTCAGCCTTCCGTACTCAGTGGAGCACGTATGACCAAGTATGTGCTCTCTGTGAATTTGTACGTGAAGAAAGGTAAACATAACAGAGAAGGTGAATCTAAAACGTCACACATCTTAATGTTGTCCATTCCTATAACGTCACACATCTTAG